TCGCTAAGATATCCATGTCTTGCAATTGGAAGCCCTTCTTCTTCATCGATTCGCTAATCCTCTGCACTTCAAGCCTAATGTCTTCGTCGATGTCTTTCGTATCGGTTCTGTTCTGAGCGTCGATTAGAAGTTGCAAAAAGTCAACGTTTTTTGACCCCTTCTGCGACTGCCTTTCGGTTATTATGGTTTCCAACTATTAATTCAATGACAAAATTATTATAAGTTATTAATCTATTATTTAATAAATAATTTTTGAATGAATTCAATAATTTACTGTTGTTTTGAAATAATTGATGTAATGTTTGGGAAGGAAAGAGATGTCGTATTTCTTGACAATCGATGGCATCAATTGGTTGAGAATGAAGAACAGACCGAACCGTACGGTAGGTCTGAAGAATTGGGACGCGTTGTGAATGAATGGATGCTCTTCGACGCCGCTATGCGACTGGAGTTTAGTGGCGAACGCACACAACGCTATCACATCCATCGTGTAATTGACAAACACTTTCTTTATGTCAATCTCGTTGTTGTCACTGTTGGCCAACGTTTCCAACTTATTGTCCACTCTTTCCACACAATCTTTGATTAAAATTTGCATTTTTCTCATTTTGCCGCTCGAGAAGGTTGGGCTTACCTAAGGGTCCGCCAAAATGGATAAACTAGTTATTTATTAAACCAATGAAAAGTTGTATAAATTATGCGTGAATTTCTACTAACAATAGTCCGGATCTGTTTCCAGACATCTCCGCGGGCTGTGAGCAGCGATCGCTCAAAGATCGGGTGACCCAACGATATGCCCACTCTGTCCACAAACTTGTGAAAATCTTTTACTAATATGTCTCGAATGAGTTCGGGTTCGGCCACACTTAGCACCGGCTTATTGCCATCAAAATATCTGATTGGATATATAATAGTTGAGTTAATTATATGTACTGAATTAAATGATAAATAGTTGATTCACTATCACCCCGTTTAGATAGAATTGTAGAATTGGTTTCATTATTTAGCTACACATTCCTGGGCACCATAATACAAGTATCAGAGATATCGGATCATTAGTATATTTACTATATTTTTTAATAAAGTTGCGGCAAAATAATGTATTCGTCTCATAAACTTTAAATTTTTACTATAAATAAACCGATTTCAACAAAACTTGGTTATTCTGGTGTCTGAGAATGTTAACTTAAATTATAAAGCTAATTTTGTAATTTTATCTACACGTATTGATAGCCATTCTAATACATTATCATTTATGTAAATAATTGGTGTAATGTTTTTAGTAAATGTAAAAATATTTCAATAACTATAGTGTGCCTAAAAGACACGAACCCATAGATTTTGCCGTAAGTCTTGTAGTTGTGGAGTCCGAAAACGCATCGGGGTTTGAGAAACACTTGATAAAGATTACCGATCAGTGGCCACGGCTTCGGGCCCTTTACGCCACGTGAGCGCCAGTATTTGTGATTACGAGTCGAATAGCTTTTTGATTGTAATTAAATACAAAATTATATTAATCCTTTGTAAGCAAAGTTCAAAAGCCTTTCTGAGTATTTAATTAGCAAATAGAGGATTGAATTATAAGTATTTCATAAAAGTTTTATTTTATGTCTATTTTAAGTTAACGATAGACTATAAAAAGTTGTGTTACACATATTGTGTTGCATTTACCCTGATTTCAACATCACATCCCTCATAGATTATTGATTTTTAGATTGTTTTTTGTAATTTAATTTATAACCTTTTTATTAATGCAATTAATATGCAATTGAAATTTAGATTCACAATAAGTATATTTTTATTATAGAGAAAATTAATTAGTTTAATGAAAATATAAGTTTTATTTTTAATGAACCAATACTTTCAACATATGACTGCTATTATGGATTTGTTTGTGAATAAATTTGCAATTGCTGTATATAATTAATATTAGTTTAAATACTTACAAATATAATGTAATTAATGTAATGACGGCAATCGATGGCCAATAAGTGATTACATTTAAATATTGCGATAAATAAGCCATTTTCCCGTGAAATATATGCCAATCGCCGACATATGCAGTGAAATACAAACAAATTTTCACAAAATTCCTAAATATAAGTGCAAATTAATAACAAAATGATATTTCAAATAATGACAGCAGAATATGATATAAATTATCGCATGTAATGATAAGACAGACTTACAAACTAATGGCAATACATTTGTAAAATATTAGACATTTCAATGTCTAATACGTGAATTCAATGCAAAATTTTGTTAGTTTTTAGTTCACATTTAGAAATGACTTTCGGATACTTTATGTAAATTTATAC